TTATATTTCCCCTTTCCCCGTGAAATACTTTTACAAAGCTGTTCTAATCACACAGCATATAACCTTTCAAAAAGCTTCTCTTTTTATTCCCATGGCACATTCTAATGAAAGAAACGCATCCTTTTTAGTACATTACCTAAATAACATTACTTTCTAAAAGCCACCAGTGCCAACTCAGAATCTTTGTCATATTCTGAGAGTGAATTTAATACACACACACACACACACACACACACACACACACACACACACACGGAAAGAGGGGGGGTGCTTTCAGAGTTTAACAGAATGCTTCTTTCCAGAGGAAAAAAAAAACTATCTAGACACACAAGGGAGGGCCTAGGCCCTACCCCAAATGACTTGACAGAGTTTGATGATCCCTCATGGAAGTCCTCACCCTCCCTGGGGAATGGATGAGGGATGGGATGGGAGATTGGTGGGGGTTATGGGTGGAGGGGAGGGAGAGGGAACAGGGATTAATATGTAAAATAGAACTGTTTCTAATTTAAATAAAACTTGTATATAAAACCTATCTAGAAAGCCTTCCATAGTTAGGCTTGGAAGGAACTTATAAAGTCTAAAGCTTACTTTCCTAAGCTTAGAGAACAGATGAGCAGAGCAGGTATTGCCTTTCTTGATATGACTCAGATGAAGGACCTTTTGGGGGATGTAATCTGCAGTTTTTAACTCAAAATCTTATGTTCTTTCCCTTCTGCCCTTCTGTGCAGTATTGATCCCCAGTGAGACAGATATTCAATATCCACTCTAGCTTATGGTGAGTAAAGATTTCCTCATAATTAATGCAAACATTCTATATAAAACACTCTAGAGCTATGGAGGATACTGATTTTGTGTATAGGTTAAAAACTAACTATTATGAGCAAGGATACAGGATTAACCATCCACAAGTGGCACATCTCATTAGGAGACCACACACCATGAGGAATACTGACATTTCCCTCATAAATGCTATGGCTCAGACAATGCCCCAAATTCCTAGGGAACCTGCTGTAGCGTTGTGTATCTCAAATTGGCAAAAGTCTCTATAAACAGTAGCAGTTATCAACAATAAACAGAGCAATGAAAATTCAGTGTCTTTCTAAAAACAACAGATCTATCATTTAAAAAAATAAAATCAGTATTGTAATTGCTACATGTAAGTTGGCCTGTTGATTTTTGTTGTTGTTTTGAGACAGTGTTTCTCTGTTTAGCTTTGGAGCCTATCCTGGCACTCGCTCTGTAGACCAGTCTGGCCTCGAACTCACAGAGATCTGCCTACCTCTGCTCCTGAGTGCTGGGATTAAAGGCATGCCTCATCGACGCCTGTTAGCATTTTAAGCTTATTTAATTATTTGTAATACATTAGAAATTGGTAGAATATATACTAAGAACTGCTCTTGACATGCAAAAAAAATCTAGCATAAAATAGTTTTAGAAATATCCTTTATGAGAATATGAATTGGTACAAAATATGCATAGGTTTACATAAAGATGATTGTTGTAGAATAATGTATACATTTTACTTGACTGTAATAACTCGTAAACAATTAAAATATTACTGTCCATTATAAGTTGCAAGAATCTAAGCTTTAAAGATAAGTGACTAATTTAAGATCCTATTCTAAAAAAGACCCTATAATAAAAAATATATTTACATAAAATCACACCCCAAACCTCATGACTTGTGATTTCCACAATTTTGTTTTAATTTAAAGGTCATCATTTACCTAAGGGACTGTGTTTGTCAGGATAATTTCTCTACCTAGATTTAGAAAAAAATAATAGACCAAGTGCCTTGTGGGAATTGTGTGCGCATGTGTGCGCATGCGCAGGCATGTGCATGTGTGTAAGGAGACCAGAAGTCAATGTTTGATGTTGTCTTAGTTTCTGCTGCTGGGAAGAGACTCTGTGATCATGGCAACTCTTGTAAAGAAAGACATTTAAATGGGACTGGCTTACATTTAGAGGTTTAGTCTATTAATATCATGGCATGAAGCATGGCTAGCACACAGGCAGTCGTGGTGCTACAGAAGTAGCTGAGAGTTCTATATCAGGATGCGAAAGCAGCAGGAAGAGGGCAAGCCACTGGGTTTAGCTAGAGCTTCTGAAACCTCAAGTTTCCTCCATCTCCTAATAGTACTACTCCCTACTCGCCTATGGGAGCCATTTTCATTCAAACCACCACTGGTGCCTTCCTCAGCATTTCTAATTCATATTTTGGGAAAGAGACTTTCACTGAACTCACTGATTCAGGTAGATTGGCCAGTCAGCAAATTTCAGAAATCCTTTTGTCTCCCCCTCCCCAGTGCTGAAATTGCAAAAGACAGTCACTCATTGCTACACCTAGATTTATATTTGGATCCTGGATATCTGAAAGCAGTGTGCCATGCTTGGATGGCAAGCATTTCATTGAATGAGTCTTCCTCTAGCTCCCACAATGGGGTTTTTATTTCATGTATAATCATAAAGGTTGAAAAATATTTTTAAAACACTCAAAGACAAATTTAAACTTTAAGACAAATTAAGTGGGATGATACTTAATAATATATCTTAAAACATTTCTAAGACCAATTTCTAAGTTCTGTTTTATTTTACACTTTCTAAATTATGCTTAAGTTTACTCTAATTTCTTTTCATTTAGGTCGTTTTGTGTAATTATTTCTTGAGACTTTCAACTATGAATACTATATTTATATTAGTTCTGTCTGCTCTTTCCTTCTTCCAACTCCTACCACATCCTCCACCTCAACTCTTCTCAATTTTTAGCCCTTTTTTCTTTAATTATTATTGTTATATGCACACATACTCACATATAATCTATTCAGTGTTGTTCATATACATACATAATATACAAAAACACATAAACACACATACACATAAACACACACATACACCACATACAACATATGCTTTCATTTAGGAGTCTGACCCTTTGTAAACTCCATCATCCAGTTTGGCATGTCAAATGGTACTGTCGTTTCAAGTTTTGAGTTTTCAAAGAAGACTATTTAATAAAGGAACTGCAAGCCTGGATACCTTCCCATCATTACATTTAGCAGGCTACATAGCCATTTCTGATGATGCCAGCATTTTTGAAAGTAAATTTGAGTCTATGTTGTTGTTTTATATTGTTTCTATGCCATCAAAGTCCAGGTATGCAGATGGAGACTGAACACATATCTTCAGTCAAGCTTAGGAGAGCATGAATAGATTGAATAATTTAAGGTATAAAATGTCTAGAGTGAGTTAAACATAATCTTTATATGAATCTTTAGATATCATTAAAACATTAAAATGTCAATATCTAAATCAATCTATAATTTAGCCCCTTTTCTTACCTAATGTTACTTCTAATTAATTAAATACTCTTTTCAAACATAAAAACTAAATAACTAATTTGGGAAAATATGTAGGTAAAAGTTATCAAATTGATTTCATTTAGTAGAAATATTTTAAACAAATTTTGGGGTGTCAGAAAGAATATTTGTCAGAACAAAAAAAACTCTTTGTCTTAATTTAACTTACTTGTTGCATAATCAATTGACAAAAACTAAATTCATTTCAAAGAAACACAATGATCACGTGTAAGCAGTAGGGCTTACTTACCGAGCCAGGGTTATCTGATATGGCTGATGAAAAATGACTCTTAACCAGGCATGGGTTGGAGGTATTACATCAAACCTGAGAATGGGATAAGTTTATTCCAAGAAATCAGATTTTTTTATACCTTTATCCAAAACAGAATAGGAAGGCAATGGCCAGAATCAATACAGTGGAAGTTACCACGATCTTATGATGTTAGCGAGCTAGACAGGGTATACAAGATTAATGTCTGAAACTAATCATCCAGCCAACTTCAATATGCTTCTGTGACTTCTGGAGCACACAGAGAAATACAAGGTGACCTGAATTCTTCGCTGCCTGAATGAGTGTCTCCATTTCTCAGAAACTGAAAGGCACACAGTGCCCCCGAAGTCATGGACTCTAACCTGAAAAGCCCATGATGCATGCCTCTCAAGGAATCTAGACAAGACTAACTCCATGATTTCCTCCAATTATGTGTTCAAGTCTTATCAACATTGATTATAAACACATTGTCTTTGTATTGCTTTTCTAAGTTGGTGGTTTACAGACTTATTGTACTTTAAACTGTCTGGAGTAAAAATACATCTTATATTTTCATGTGGAAGATCTCAAAGCCAGTTAAAAATCTCTAGAGTCTTCTGAGTAAACACACATTTGGAAAACAGTAACTTGAAAAAAGATCACCTATGGTGGATTTGGATTTGTTACTTGTTCTCTGCAACCACAACATAGATGGGCATATGTGAGGGAAAAGTGTTTGGCTCAGGAAGTTGTGAAATTAAGTTGTCTTGTACAATCATTCAGTGGAAGAGGAACTCTATGTTTCCTTCTTACTAATAAGGAATGAATTAAAAACTTTTAAGAACAGGATTATTTCTTTATATCCTTTAAGGGTATTTTAGAACAAAAGATGCAGAGAATTTAGTGTATGACAGTGTGTCAAAGCTAAGGCACATACCTCCTCCTAGAAGCAAGAAGTTCTACAATCTACCAATTTTCTGATTCTCTATGGTGACATTTGACAGTGGTATGCCTTCCACCTGACGTACCTACTGTCCACATTTCCTTCAGTAGTTCTAGAATTCTGGAATCATTTGCCAAATGGTGCATTGTGCTTTCCCAGATGATGTGCAAAACAGCATCATCATCTAAATGAGTTCACACAAAGGCAAGCAGTGTATCATTGTGGCAAATGGGAGCCATGATGTGGGGGATACATTCAAAATTACATTACCTTTAACTCCTAAGTCTTAGGTGAAACAGTGTTTTCATATCTTGTGGACCTTCTCTGTGCTCTCCTTCTATAGGTAATAGAGCAATCTCAGAGTTCTTCACTTCTAATTAAGCATTTACAACTATGCTGTCATTTTCTTATTTACTATGTGTGAAGCAATGATACAAGAATATAAAAATATTCACATACTTGGCAGAGAGATACCATGATCGTGAAGGCAGTTTCCCAAGGATAAGAGCCTTCTATTGAACTAGAGATGCACTAATGACCCTTATGATTTTTTACAAATGCAGGAAATCTAACAAAATAATCTGTAGAAATGGGGAACTATGTCTGCCTTTTCCCCTAAATTAAAACAGGAAAAAAATTCAGGTTTTGACTCAGATTGACTTAAGTCCCACAGTCCATAACTTCAGCATTAATTAATCCATACAACCATCAAAGTCACACCTTTGATCAGATGATTCAGTAATCATTGAACAAATATTTATTTTGGATTTACTCTCTGCTAAAACATTTATATTTTTTCACCAATGTAAAAATAGATAACTCATAGAAAAGTTTGCATTTCAGCAAGGTTAGTAAATAAATGATATATATGAATACATAGGCACATATACATAAATGTATATACATGTATAATATATACATATATTATATACTAAATATTATATTCTATCTAGAGCATTCAGCTTGCTAGCCCTGGTGAAGGAGAAAGAGGATGCTGTAAGACAGCATAGTCTTACTTACTGTCTTATTCAAATCATGGTAACTTCTGTCTTCTTCACTATTATACTTCACATCATTTTATTAAATTAAAAATCTATATAAATCAGTGTGAATCTTCCTTATCTTCTCTGGTTTAAACATCCAGCCATCTTCTGTGTATTCTCATTTACATAATCATTATCTTTATTCACACTCTATGGTAACACTGAGTAAATATTTTTGCCTTTTGAATCTCATTATTTTTTCATGATAGTGTTTCTGTGTAGCATTAGAGCCTGTCCTGGTAATTGCTCTGTATATGAGACTGGCCTCAAACTCACAGAGAATAGCCTGCTTCTGCCTCCCAAGTGCTGGGATTAAAGGCATGCACCACCACCCAGAATGAATAAAATATTTAAAATTGTGTGAATCTACCCTGATGGACAATTACAAGTCCATCTTGCCCCTTTATTGAAAACACACAACTGAAATTTTCCTCAATTTTCCAGATCATTTGCTCCCATTTGCTCTGGCGTCTTTGCCATTATCTCTTGCCCTCAAACCTCACACTGCTATTTTATCTAGTCTAGTTATTTTATTTGTGAGATAGATGCCACAAATGAGGAAGGATTTGCAACCTAAAAACATCAACTTCTTTGAATCAGCCCTCATCCCTTTCTGATTCTCTTTTGTTCAAGTGGTAGAAGACTCCTTCTGCTCTCTATTTGAGGCCATTTTTCTCACTGAATTCTAGGTTCACTATTCTTCCTTTTCAGGACTTCCCTATATTTTCAATCTTACCCTGCTGGTTCTTTAATGAAACAAACTCATATGCTCATGTGGTGTTCTTCCAGGAAACAGTTACCACCCTTTCTTCTTGTCTACACAATATACATTCCTCTTTCTGTGATACATACAATCTGCTTTCTTCCACATTATGCCATGAAAGTATTGCACCATGCCCACTAGTGATCTGCCTGTATGAAACCCAGTTGAGAGTTGTTGTTCACTTTTCTATTAGTAGTTAGTAACTTTTCACTAACAATCTCATGGTTTTAAAACAATCTCATACTTCGGTACCCAAGCCAGATGTGTATATTTAAATTTTCTCCTAAAAACAAGTCCCCTTCTTCCAAGTATGCTTTGCTTCTTATTTACTTCCTTCCTTTGCTGTCTTTAATATCTATATCCTTTTGACAACACATTCCCATCACTAATCAAGAAGTCTTCCTTTTTCTCTTTCAAGTATTGTAGCTAATGTTTTTGTGTGTGTTTTCATTTGGTCATGTAATAATCTCAAATTTATTATGCTCAAAATTGTTTTCATTATCAGCTGTGCTTTTATCCTTCCTGCATAAACACCCCATGCAATTGTTGCCTCTTTTCATTGCTCTGATTCCATGGAAGATAACATTATTAAGTTAGAACTCTTGGGAAATTTCTTCATGACATCTCCCCTTCATCCAGACAAGCAGGTTCTACATTACAGACCATTTGAGTGTGCAGTTTTATAAGAATATTTCAATCCTGTCCCTCGTCTTCCAATCCTTTGTCTTTCTTGCTTGTCTACAATGATGCTGGGCTTTGTGTGTAATCTAGGCCTGATTTTACCTCTATCTTGTCTAATCTTTTTTGGAAGTCTCAATTACAGGTGAAACAAGATTCAAATACCATTAAATAGACTTGAAAAGCACAAGTTATAGTGGATTGTGCTCTCAATGTGGTATACCCCAACATTAGACAGTTATTTTTACTTATCATTATATCTAAAAACCACTATATTTTCTAGACACATAGCCAAACCTTGATATAAAATAATCTTATATTAATTAACTGTACATTGAAGTAGTTTAAGCCTATCTCATATTTTTACCCCAAATGAGGCTTTTAAGCCACCTCTATTATGACTAGACATGAGAGTGCTCTTTTTTTGCATGGAGTTCCTGTCAACGTTTTTGACATCGCATTACTTTTCTGTTGATTTATAAATGGGAAGTGGAGAAATTTCACATCCCCTTTGCATGAGCTTGTACTATAATAGGTATGTAATTCCAATATATAAAAGCTTTTTAGGTCCTAAACGTTGCAATACATTTTGGATAAGTTATGCCGATGAAATTTATTCTGATTTGACATTTTGCTAGTCTTCCTCTCCATTTCTTCTATTCCAGTGAATGATTCTATTATTCACTGCATAAATATTAATATATTTGATTATTGGGTGCTACCCCAGACCCTGGGGTATAACTTACATACATGACATTTGTACAGGATTAACTTTCTAAAATATGCAAATCTTAAAATTTAAAAGCCATTCTCCTCAAGGGATTTGGATTAGGAATTCTGAACTTGTATTAACCTTAGTAAAGTGAATTGAAGTCTATTAAGCTCTTTCTTGAAACTGGGAACCACTGAAAGAATGTATTTGAAAGAAAATTTACTTTTATAGAGTAAATTGATATGTTCACTTCCTAGAATATCTGTTGCATGGAGCTGGGTTGCTTTAAAGGTTTAAGCATTCTCCAGATTGTATTATCCTGGCAATAGTAATGCAGACAAGTAATAACAGCTTCACTATCTCTGTCAACAAAAGCCTCGTAAGTTCTAGTGCCATTTTAGGCCTCCACTGGGCACTAGTGATTCTATCCAATGATCTTTCACAGCTGCCAAATTACCAAAGATCAACTATTTTGCAGCCTAGACGTTTCAGGTTTATGGAGATAAATGGAAACATACTAGGAGGGATTTGCTGTTCTTGATGCCCACCTGGAATAACAAAACCTTTAAAAAGTTCATCACCCCACTCTCTCTCTCTCTCTCTCTCTCTCTCTCTCTCTCTCTCTCTGTGTGTGTGTGTGTGTGTGTGTGTGTGTGTGTGTGTGTGTGTGTGTGATCCTTCAGGCAGCAGCATATCTGTCATCATTCACAGTTGTTCCATTTTGCTCATTACTGACACAAATGTATACATTGGCTCAATTAACCTACCTCGTGCTTTATTCTACATTCACACATACACAGAAATGAGAAATTCTCAGGTGATTCCTTCTAGTTTCTTGACACTGCTTCAATCCTGGGCTTTAGTTTGCATTGGCTTTCCTTCAAGGGTCTTCAAAATAGTCATTGAGATGCCCTCAGTAATTAGCAGAATACTCCAGATTATTAAATTAATCTTAAGCAACCAAAGAGCCTCAAGCAATCTATCCATATGGATCAAGTTTCTGGCCATTCCTGAGTAGATTTTAAAATACTCCAGTAAAAAGGCTGGTACTATTTAATACTTTATGGTGTTTATTTGCAACATGAAAAAGAAGAAAAAATTGAAGGTCAAACATATATGCTAGCTATGCTTTCTGGTTGCTCTCTTGTTAAATAAGAATTTATGTTGTAAAGGTTCAATGACTTCTTTAAATGTAATCAAAGATCCTTTTAAAGGAAATAAAAATATTGAATCACATAATTGTCTTATTCCTCAAATTTCCAAAATGAAGCACAGTTTTTTAATTTATGCAAACACAGAGAAAATAAAATTTTGGCTTTTAAGTATGAGCCCAGATTTAACTATTACTACCTAAACACAAGTTCCTTATACTCAAAGGATGTCTGTTT